GAGGAGGGGCAAGATGGAGGTGGCGGATTAAGAAGTGCAAACTATCAGGTACAAAATAAGCTATAAGGATGTATTGTACAACATGGAGAATATAGTCAATATTTTAAAATAACCATAAATGGTGCATAACCTTTAAAAATTTGTGAATCACCATATTACATACCTGTAACATATTGTACATCAACTATACTTCAATTAAAAAATATGATATTGTAAAATACATACATAAATAAATTTTAAAGTGGTTAAAAATATGGGGTGGGATCTGGACAGATGGAATACTAATGTGTTTGTACGTGTGTGTATAAGTGTATATGACTATAGTGAAGCTGAGGTGCTACACAGAAGCATCTGACAGGCAGTGGGACCTGAAATAAAGGAATGTTTGTATCTCTAGTGTGTAACATAGTTCCTGGCACTGAATGGCTGCTCAATAAGTATTTGTTGAATGAATGCATGAATAACTCTGCAGAATTTAACACTTTCTGAAAAGAATATAAAATAAAAAGTTTAAAAATTAACTAGACAAAAATGAAAAAGCAAACTTTTTTGCCTGTTATTGCCGAAATGTTGGCCTCTATGCACTGGTGTTGAATTGAGTCTTGGAGACAGTTTCAGGTGAAGTAGAAAAGAAATAGCTTTAATTGCTTTGTCATACAAAGGGGACCACAGTAGGCTAGTGCCTTTAGGACTGTGTGTCCACCAGGCATGGGTATGGGAAAGTTTTATGGGAAGATCTGGGGTGCAGAGCAGGTGATAAGGATCAGAGGTGAGGGTCTTGCAGTCTTCTTATTCCAGAAGTCCACTCAGATACAATTGCATCTGGTGTTACGGTCATCTCATGATGGGTTTGTGGATTTCTGGAGCTCTGGTGGTTATTAAAATGTGATCTTCTTCCTAGAACAAAGGAGGTTGGGGGGATGAGTGAGTGTAATGGGAAGGTTAGAGGCTATTCAGCACAAAATCAGTTGAGCAAGGTAAACAGAGATGGGGGTTTGTCAGAAGAAAAAAAGTTGCAAGAATTCCAAGTCAGAGTGAATCAGCAAACAGCTTTAGCATCAGGGGAGCCATTTTGGAACAGAGGCTAGTTTACTGCTTCAGTATCTATGTAAGATTCTTTAATGAAATGTAAAAATAAGCAGCCAAGGGTACCTGGGTGAAAACCAGAATCTTAACCTCTACATCATAGAGGAATGCATCATATCAACAGTCTTCTTTGTCATTCTCTGGAATCAAATCTCAATTTTGTTTAGTTCCTCTATCATTTTCTAATCCTTTTCTTCCACTCCCATCCTCCTACCCCTATTCCTCCTCTTCCCTATTCTCCTTTCTCCTCTCTTCCTTACCTCTTCCCCTCTTCCCCTTTTCTTCTTCATCCTCTCTTCCTTTCTTCATCTGTTCTTCATGGAACTTGAGGGAGGTAGTGAGAGCAGGTAAAGAAGTATGATGGTTTGGAGCAGAAGGAAAGGGAGACTAGCAACAGGGAGACTGAATTTCTATAAAAGAGTGGTTTAAGGGGACAATTTGGCTGGTGAAGCCTTGTGGTAATGGGGGTTGGAGGATATGTTGAAAGCTGCCTTTACATAACAAGCACATTATTTACACTGAATGCTTTTCTAGGGGTGAAATGACTGATGACCATTATTTCATCCACTCCAAACTCCATTGGAGCTGCCACTGTAGGAAAATCACTTAGCAGACTATTGCAATTATCCAGGCCTGATATTATCATAGCTGGGACAAAAACAGCGACACCAAGAATAGGTAGGAACAGACAGATTGTAGAAAATGGATTGGGAAATGCAGAACTCTCAGCACATAACTCTGTCCAAACCGCTGCACCAAGAGTCTTGCCAAGCCCCTAGGATGACCCCAGGCTCCCCATTGATCCCCACCCCAACTCCCTCACCCCCATTAAAAAGCCTGCCTGAGAATTCTCAACACTGCAAGGAGAATTTACTGTTTGCCTGATGATAGGCTCTGACCTACTTTTCTCAGAACATTTACTCAAAAGAGCTTACAATTGTGAATATGTATCTATTGCAAGTCAGAAATGTCTTTTTCAAGGAACTGAAAGTCATTCCTTTGAAACATAATCATCAAGAAAGATAGGTGAGGGAGATTAAGAAGTACAAATTTCCAGTTGCAAATAAATGAATCACAGGTATGAAATGTACAGTGTGGGGAATATAGTCAATAACTATGTAATATCTTTGTATGCTGACATGTCAAAACTAAACTTACCATGGTGATCATTTTGAAATGCATAGAAATATCGAACTACTATGTTGTGAAATGGGAACTATTAACATAGTGTCATAGATCACTTATACTTCAAAAACAAACTCATAGAAAAAAAGATCAGATTCGTGGTTACCAGAGGTGAGAGGTGGGGGAAGGGGGATTTGGATGAAGGCAGTCAAAAGATAAAAACGTCCCGTTATAAAACAAGTAAGTACTAGGGATGTAATGTACAACATGATAAATATAATTAACACTGCTGTATGTTATACATGAAAGTTGTTAAAACAGTAAATTTTAAGAGATCTCATCATAAGAAAAATTTTTTTCTATTTCTTTATTTTGGTATCTATATGAGATGATGAATGTTCACTAAACTTACTGTGATAATCATTTCATGATATGTGTAAGTCAAACCATTATGCTGTACACCGTAAACTTATACAGTGCTGTATGTCAATTGACAATACAATATTTTAATAAAACTGGAAGAAAACAGTAATAAAATGACTTTCTAGTTTGGGACTTAACGTCCTTCACCACAAAGGGAAAACTAGAACAAGAGCTGATTAGGGGACAGCTGGTAGGGAAGAGGGATATTTGGCAAGTGATAGGGTTAAGGAGGCATGGTAAGAATAAAATGAATTTTTCTTGAAATATGTCAGTTGTGGTAAGAAGGAATCATACAGTATGGAAAATGGGGACATCTGGGAGTAGACAACACCCTGTTTCTGTCGTTTCTCTTTCCTTCCGTCTGTCCTTCCTTCTCTCCCTCCAGTTCTTCTTTCTTTTCAAGTAATGTATACATGTGGTTTAAATATATACATAGTATATATATTTAAAAGGATTAAGATGAAAAGCAACAATACCCTCACTTTCTATGCCCTGCCCCTCTCCAGAAGCAGCCCCCGTTGAACTATTTCAGACGTTTTTCCCTTGAGTCCCTACATCTAAATGTGTTATGTATATGTCTATCACTAGTCCTTCAGTCATCAATTCTAGACTTTGTCTATTGGCTTCTTACTATGGTGTATGATGATTCGTTTCCCATATTTCCAGTTTTAAACAAGTAGGGAGATAAGGGTGGGTCTTAAAATTCCTTATGAATCCCTGATCACAGCAATAACTTTTATTGCGCGCTATGTGGAAGACACATTTGTAATCACTTCGGATGTATTAACTCACTTAATTACAAGCTCAGTTATAGGGATGGGACTAATAATAAAAGCAGGACGATAAAGATTTAAAAAACAGGAAAAAAAAGTTAATGTTGGGCCTTCCTCATTGAAAAACGTTAAGGGTTAAATAGCAGTTTAAAAAAAAAAAAAGGCTAGCTTTGACGCACTGAAATTCCAACCGTCTCCTTTAATTCTCCGCAGCGGCGCTGGGGCCTGGTTGCCCACAAGGGAAGCCCCTTTAGGCGGGCAGCACCCAACCAAGCCTGTGGCTGAGTCAGAAACCGGGCCACGTGACAGCGACAGACGGCACTCTGTCTTTCTCCGCGCAGTCTCTATGGTATTTTTCCCAGACCACCCGCCCCTAGGGAAGCGGCCATCAGGTGACAGACTCCGGGTTTACGGCAGGTGCCCACGTGATCCTGGCCTGCAGTCCGGTGGTTGTGGTGAGGTACCTGCGCTCCTGAAGGGCGGGCGGTTAGGTCGTCACCGCTGCAGCCACTGGCGGACTCTCCCGAGCGGCGAGGCTCGGGAACAACGAGCCGGCTGAAGCATTCATCGCTTAGTGCGTACGGCACGGGCCTGCTCTTTCCGCCGCCTCTGCCTTCGTCATCCCCACCTCTTTGCGGGTGAAGTCCCCTTTGGGTTTCGAGACCTTGGGGCCAAGGCCCAAACTCGAGACGAACCCCTTCCCTAATCCTTCTTTCCTTCTCATCCTCCATCTCTTCCTTTGCACCAACGAATCATTTAGCCTTTGAGCTGGCCAGCTCGGCGGTGCCTTGAGGCCAGGTTCGAGGCGGTAAAGGTAACCGTGGGGAAAGCAGCCCCCCAGTGGACAAAGGCGGAGGCAAGAATAGAGCAGGCCTAAGGGCCGCAGGCGACAAGAATAGGCGGCAGAGGGGGTGAACAAGGAAAAAAACGAGAGAGTACTGCGTATTTAGAAGGGACTGGAAAGGACTTGTTGCACGATGGAAGAATCTGACTCTGAGAAAAAGATGGAGAAGGAGAATCTGGGGCCGAGAATGGATCCTCCCATAGGGGAACCGGAAGGATCGCTTGGGTGGGTGAAGGGTATTATGTTAAACCTGGAGGGGGGAGGTTGCGCGTTCTAACTGAAGAGAGTATTGTGAATTAGAACACATCACCCATGAGAAAGTGCTTTGATTTACCAGTAAAGTTGCTTTTGGCTATTGGATAAACTGGGAAGAGTACTGGTTGCTATCTGGGTGGAAGCAACTCTTGGGACAGGCCTGATAATCACTCCGGGGAGGGGGATGTGTTCTAATTGAGGAGGCCATTATGAATTCCTTTGAATTATCCATAAAGGAGATTTGACACCATCATGTTGAGGATGAGAAGACTAGGAAGAGGGTTGGCATTTCCTGGGCAGCTTGAGAGTGCTTTCTGTGCTAATTTGTACCTGAATTTGAGACTTGTGTTTTATATACCTTGTGCTTGTGATAAGTGAAAAATGACTTGGAAGAACAGCTGAAGGACTAAAGATTTTTAAAACATGCTGACTTAAAAAAAAGGTATTCAAATATGACAATATTGCTTGAATTATTAAAGCACTTGTAAATGTTGCTTGGATAATTTTTTTAAGATGAAGGAAAGGTGAATCTTGAATTTTAATGGCTCATCTATATTTCTAAATGAAATCTTCCCAAGCGCTATCTCCTGAGCACAGAATTAGGGAAGAAGGAGCATAAACCCAGTTTTATAATGTAGGAAAATGAGGGCCTCTACTTAACTGAGGTCCCTCAGACAAATGTATTCAACTGTTGTGCTAAACAGTGCTCTTTTCCACCTCCACTTTTTTTTTTGCTATTTCTTTAATTCCAATTTTTAAGGCAACTGGATCATAGAAACTCTGTCTTTTGGTTTATATCTGCAGATGGGTGCTACCAAATACAGCCATGAAGAAAAAGGTAAGATGTGTTAGGTACATCAAAACCACGAAGGTAAAGGTAAGAAGTTACTAGTCAGGAAATAATGTGGTGCATATTTGCCATCTTTTCTGGACTGTTGTAGGAACTTCTACATGTTCTCCCTGACTCTTGTTCCCTTCTTTGTTATCAGGTTTAATTTTTCTAATATATAAATCTAACTAGGCCATTCACATACTTAAGAACTTTTTGTAACTTCCCACAGCCCACAGAATATAATCCAAATTACTTCATCTTGTAGAAAGCCCTTTAAAAATCTATTCCTGACTAAACCATCTGCCACACCTGTGCACCCTATCATAGCTATGCAGAATCTGTTTTTCTCCACATTTACAAATTAACTTGCATTTTGTGCAAGTCATATACACACTACACAAGCCTTTGCCTGGGCATTTATGTTGAACCCAACTCAAATGTTACCACTGTAAGGTCTTACATGAATTCTCCAAATGGAATTGAACACTCCTTCCGTTGTGCTTTTATGGTACTGTGCTCTAACTTGAGGTTTAGAAAGAATCCATATGAGCACAGCTCTGGAGCAAATTCCTGTACCTTTTGAGCTTTCAGTTTCTTCATTTTTAAAATGGTGATAATAATATTCCCCATCTCATAGAATTGTTATGAAATTTAAATGAGCAAATGCATGTAGAATACTTAGATTAGTACTTAATACAGTTGGCCTTGATAAGTCTTTCATAAACTATTAAAATTAGATTTCTTAAATTGGAAAACAAAAGCCCATAAAAAAGAATGAAATATTGCCATTTGCAGCAACATGGATGAACCTAGAGACTAGTAGGTTTAATGAAATCAGTCAGGCAGAGAAAGACAAATACTATATGGTATCACTTATATGTGGAATCTAAAAAATAATACCCATGAATCTATATACGAAACAGAAACAGACTTAACAGACGTAGAAAACAAACTTACGGTTACCAAAGGGGAGAGGGAGTGGGGAGGGACAAATTAGGAGTGTAGGATTAACAGATGCAAACTTCTACACAAAATAGATAAGCAACAGAGATTTACCTTTGCACAGGGAATTATACCCAATATCTTGTATTAACCTATGATGGAATATAATCTACAAAAAAGCCCTCAAAACAAAAATGAATCACCATGCTGTGTACCTGAAACTAACACAATATTGTAAATCAACTATATTTCAGTTAACAGAGAAATGTACTGTATTTAGCCCTAACTTTATCTAGTAATTCAGTTACATAACTGCAGTTTGATAAGGAAATATTCTTGATGAGCCTGGCTAAAGTTGCTATCAACAAGGGTACCTAATAATACCAGAAATTGTACGTGATTAAGAATAAAAGCAAACCTTTTTTCTAACAATTTTAGACTGGCTCCTTAGTAACATTTCCTTAGTAAGATAAAATTATGTAGCTAAATAGTGAGATTACATTGAACTTGAGTGCAGCATACTTTCATTAATACTCCATTAATATTTGTAATACTTCATTAATATTTGTAATAGGAAATTTTTATAAAATATCTTGGAATTGAAGTTAGAATATCTATCCCCTCATTTGAAAAGCAAGGTAATTGGAAATACATTTAATAAATTTTAAGTTAGAAAAGACTCTTGAAAGTTACCTCACCCAATTCCCTCCTAGTGCAAGAATCTACGTCATCTTTAATAGGTGTTTTTCTGTCTTTGTTAAATGCTGACATTGACAAGAAGGTGTTTACCTTCATGTGACTACCCTTTCCATTGGACAATTCTCACTGCTAAAAATTTGCTTCTTTTATATCTTTGTTTTGATAGACTGCTCATTCTTTTGATTAACATATTTTGAGCATCTGTTGTATGTTAGGCACTGAAGACTCAGTGGGATTCTCCCTGCCATTCAGGAGCTCAGTCTTGTGAGAGACAGGCCAAAAAAGAAGACTGGATAACTACAATGCATTATGGTTTTTGCAGTGTCATAAGAGTGTCATGGGAGGACAGAGGTGAAACACACCTAAGCCAGCCTAGGGCATTGTAATTAGAGAAGCTTATTGAGGAGATGATTACTGAACCAAGTCTTGAAGGGTAAGTGGAGCTTAGCTGAAGGAAGAAAAGGGAGTGAAAAGTTACTGGCAGAGAGTACAGCATGATACAAAGACATAGATGGGCTCCCTGGAGACTTGGGAGCAGTCAAAGGGGCTATATGCATTTCAGTTCAGTTCAGTATGGCTGAACTCTACAAGTTCCAGGCCAGGAGTGGTCAGAAGATGAAGGCAAAGAAGTAGATAAGCCAGATCAGGGAGGGTCTTGTATGTAGTTTAAGGACTTGATCCTGTAGGTGATGGGATGCTTTTAAAAAGGAAAAAGAATAATTAATGGAACAAAATCATGAAGATAAGTAGAAAGGATGAGATCAAGGGCAGAGGTGGTAAGGTTGACCCTGAGCAGGAGGAAGAACTTTCAGTTATACTGAAATACCCTGCCAGGTAGTTCAGTGCATAAAACATTAGATAATGAGAGATTAGGGTTCAGTTTCCTCTCAAGTTGGTATTCCTCTAACATAATTCTGAATGTATGATAGTGCATATTATTACCATAATAAATTCACTGTGATTCTATCACCAAGAGAATGACTCATGACAGGTAAGTGCCTGGCCTCTGGAATTCTAGATACCTTTGCAATCACCATTGGTTGGGGAACTAGTTAGTTACAGATATCCACACCAGGTTGTTAGTTCTGTCACTTCAGTAAAACATCAAGGATAGGAGAGAAATAGATCCTTTTAGACTTGATTTGCTGTTGATTGCTGACTTCTTTCCTCTCTTTTTCCCCATTTTGTCCTTAGGTGCTGTTGATGGGTAAAAGTGGGTCTGGTAAGACCAGCATGAGGTCTATTATATTTGCAAATTATATTGCAAGAGACACACGTCGCCTTGGTGCAACAAGTAAGATGTTTTATCTTATTGTAAAGTCAGGTGATCTTAATTATTAATAATCTGCATAACACACTTGATTGCTGTAACTTGGGGATGCAGAGATTGACAGATTTGTTTTTTGAGCATGTTTCCCTTTTTTTCACTCCTTTTCAGAGGAATGTGACCTAATTCTGGTTACTACTGCTCGCTCTCTTGGGGAAGTTTTTTCCTTTCTAGGTTACTTACCAAATGGGCTGCCCTTGTCCAACTTCTTTTCTATCTTGCTCTTTCTTAAACAAGCATAGGGGCCCTTTTGTTTGTTCATGTGGGGGGAGGCGTTTGTTTTTAACTGTTATTACATTAAAGGGAAATTAATTGATGGGTATTAACCAGCATAACAATAAAATCTAAGATTTTTTAAAAGCAGTAGTTAGTTCTAGTCTTCACTAAAAGGTAAATTGCTGGGATTGGGGGGCTGTTGGACGGAGGTTATCCAGATCTGTACTCTACTGCTTTACCTGGCTACACATAGAAGTTCTTATTAGAGTTCTAGCATTGACTTGAGAAATGTTTTATTGCCCTTTATGGTTTGAATGTTCAATCTGCCTTCTTAGTATAGGCTAGCTGGGCTGCCGTGGCTGCCAGTTCAGTGGATTTATGCTCCTGGGAGACCCTTTCTGTCTCTAGGCTATAATGCCATTTCATTTTGTAGCATCCAAGCATTTCTGGATTCTTCCTTGGTCCTTGGCCTCTATGTGACAAAACCGTTGCCCTACTTGGCTTTCAAAGATTCCTGATCTGGGTTGCTAGCATCTTGAACATTTTTAGGAATAAGTCACCCACTACTTCATAAGGTATCTCACTCTGGTTTCAAGAATGACAAACATTTTTAAAACGCCCTATGTTCTAGACCCTAGGATACAAAAGAGAAGGAAACCTCACTTTTGTTCTTAGAGTGTAATGTAGACTCTCATAATTGAGGAAGCTTTAATGATTAGAAAGTTATTTCTTATTTAGAGCCCCAAATCTATTTCCCTTTATTTCTGTTAGCTTATACCCTTTCTGTTCTCTTTAGCCTCTACAAATATTTTAGTGTGATTAATGTCTCCATCTATCCTAGGCATCCTTTGCCTCCCAAATCTTATCTTCTTTAAGTTAAACATCTCCAGTACCTCTATGTATTCCTCACTTGACATCATTTTGAAGCATTTTAAAGAACTTGTTTGAATGTGTCTATATATATATTTTTAAGTGCTGAGTCTTGAGTGAAGATGTGGTCTAATCAGGACAGAGTAGGACTATTACATCTCTTGCTCTGGGCATCACACTGCTGTTAGCACATTCTAGCCCCTACTCTCCTTTTGTGAAGGGGCCTTCATTATACTGAGTCATATGAAAAATATACCTTTTCATATATATTGTTATTAAAACACATATCCTCCTTCTGATTCTTGTGCAGTTAATATTTTGAACCTAAGAATAAATTTTTATCTCTATTATTCAGTTTTGTTTGTTTTAGACCATGATATGTTTCTGTACAGTGTTTGCTAACTATGAAGTCCAAGACAAGTTACTATCTCACTGAGACTCAGTTTTCTGATCCATACGAAAGGAGTTGGATACTATTTTCATTTTAACTACTTATTCTCTCATCTGATATATTAGCTATCCTTCCTAGTTTTGTACAATTTGTACATTTGATAAGCATCTCATCTAGTTTTCATCAAAGTCATTTATCAAAAATTTTGGTTAAGACAGGGTGCTATGGCCTATTATGCCTTGAGAGACTTCCTTCTAGAAAGTGCCTGTCCAGACTTCTCCCTGTTTTGATTTGCTATATTTTAAATTTTTTCTGCTCTTCCAAGTTTAATATCTGGACCTAATAAACACAGTTTCAGTAGATTAGAGGAAGCTAATGTTTACTGTATGCTGTTTTATTTACTTTGGTTCTCACGTTAATTTCATTTTAATAGACTTAGAAATGGAGCTCATGCTACAGCTGCAATTCCTGGCAGATTTCTTTCTCTTTGTATTTTAAATTCTGCACATTTTATTGAAGTGTTTTTTTTCTAGTCCAATTAATATTTTTGTTTTTAGCTAATCAGCAGAGTGATTGACTACCCTAAATCTAGTGAATAGTCTTGCAACCCAAATTTCAGAGCTAGTCAAGCTACTTAAAATAGTTTTAAAATAATCTAGCAGCATCATTAAAAAATTTTAGATAAGATATTTGCAAATTATATGAACCCTGTACATTAAAGCAGGCCATTTATTTAACAGATGTTTTCCTGGAGCTTCCTGTGAATGGAACAGGGCTCTTGAACTTAAGGATATCTCAATGGGACCATTACTGATAGTACTTTATTAGTAATTACTGTATTTCTTAAAGGTAGTAAAAGTATACTTTGAAATATAATGCTGGCCTTAATGCTTTAGTGTATCTTTAGTTTGTCATTGCTGAAGAAAGGTCTGAGTTCTACTGCTAAACTTACAGACTAATTAAAAATATTATGTATAGTGTATTGATTTTTACTTACTATTCACTTTTATGCAGTTGCTGATTTTCTTTAAAAATACTGGAAAAGTACTTATTCTAAACTATTATATCACCTTTAATGTTTTAGTATTTTTATAGTTTGTCATTGCTGAAAAAAGCCTAGTTCCATTTTGTTAAAATTAGAATCTACTGTTTTGAAATTTGAAGTAAGGATACAGAATGGTGGTGTAATTAATTATTAGGGGGCTGTTAAAATGTGTTTGTTGAAATAGTAAACTTGTCAATAAAATTGTGAATATGAAGTATTTTAGTCTCAAACACTGTTGACGTCTCCAAGATTTCCTACCTTCTCAAAATTCTCTGTTCCCTTGGCTTTTATTTAATGCTTTATTACCCTTATTTTATTCCTATATCTTTAACCATCCTTCCCTTTTAAAAAAACAAGAATATTTTCTTCTTTCTGCCCCATAAGTGTATGTGATATCCCAAAGCTCTATTCTTGGTTCTTTTCAGTTGCTATTATGACAGCAGGACAGAAAGACTAGGAGAGCCAGAGGGCCCTATAGGAGACATGAGATTAAAGAGGGAGACAGAAGGTGGGGGTTAGATCATAAAGCTAAGTCAGGTAGTTTAAACTAAACTGAGGGTAGAGGGCAACCCTTAGAGTTTCAAACAGAGAAGTAGTAGGATAGATTACATTATTTTTAATTTAAAATTTTAATTACAGAAGTAATACTTGTGAAAAATTCAAACATTATAGAAGTATGGAAAGTCTACTCCTTCCCTCATTCTCAGGCTTACTTGCTAGGGACAATCACCATTAGTAATTTGAGGTTACCCTTTTGGCTTTTTTTTTCTGGGTGTATATAGTCATACAGAGACATGCTATGTTTTTTTTTCTTTTTAAAGAAGAATGGAATAAAATCTGCATTGTTGAGAGATCATTTTATCTGTAATATGAAAGATAGATTGGAGGGAGACAAGGGTAGAAAAAGGTTGACAAATTGGGAGATGGTTTTTAGTAGACCAGGTAAGAGATGCTGGGGGCTTAACTTTGGTTAGGGTGGTGGCAGTGGATATGGTAAGAAGCAAATGCATTTGGGATATATTTAAGAGGTAGAGTCAGTAGGATTTGCTTATAGGTTTGGGGGGAATAATGGGGGAAAGAGTAGACTCAAGGATGAAACTAAGATTTTGGCTTAGACTGAAAGAGGAATAGATTTTGTGGTAAGAATGGGAGGAGAATGAGTTATATTTGGATGCACTGAGTTTGGGATACTTTTGTGCTTTATGCAAGTGAAGATGTCCAATGTATGATTCAGAAAGGGAAGAAAGAAATCTGTATTTTATATATATATATACATATATATTATAATTTATATATATATATTATATCTATAGATATATATATCTATAGATATATATATATCTATATATAGATATATAGATATAATATAGATATATAAATATAAATGGATTATCGGTATCCAAATGGTAAGTAAAAAATATGAATTGACTTGCTTGCCTGCGGGAAGAATACAGAGAGAAGAGTAGGTGGCCAAAGATGGAATCCTGAAGAACCCCAACATTTAAGGGACAGAAAGAAGAATAGGAGACTGTAAAGGAGGATGTGCCAGAGAGGTTATAGGTATGATATCAGAGGCCAAGAGAAGAGAATCTTTTGAGAAGAGAGTAGTCAACAGTGTCATGCTGCAGAAAGTAAGACAAGGACTAAAAGTCCACTGGATTTGATAATGGGGCAGTTGGTTACTTGATGAGAACAATTTCAATATATGGGAATAGAAATCAGATTTCTATCCCATGTGCTCAGTATCTAAACAGTCACTGAATCCTGTCACTTCTTTTGTTATTGTCTTTCCCTTTCTCAGTAGCACTTCTTTCCATTTTTTTTTAGTACTAGACCGTTTACATAGTCTTCAAATTAATAGCAGTTTGAGCACCTACTCTCTCGTAGACTCTGTTGGAAATACAAAGACATGTAAGATATGATTCCTTTTCCAAGGAGGGGGAAGTAAGGGGGAAAAGGGAAGTAGTTTGAGCACCTACTACGTGCCAGGCACTTTACGTATGATAACTCCTTTAATCCTCACAGTAATCCTGTGAGGTCAACAGTATGCCTCCCACTTTTTTAAATGGAAGAGGAAACTAAGACTTGAGGTTGACTTACCCAAGGTCACACAGAGAGGTAAAGCTGATATTTTAATTAAGAACTGTTCGACCTAATGCCAGTGTTTTTTGTTTTTTTTTTTTAGATAATGCTTTGCTGATTAGGATCTAGTTTATGAGAAGATAAAATTGCACAAGAGTTAGATGGCAGTCAATTTAAGCAACAGCTTCAAGATAGCTGCAGAAGAAGCACCACTGTGTGATTGATTATCACATAAATTATAAAGATGATGATTGCTAGACTTTACGCAGTTTCCAGGATAAGAATTTTCATTATTCCTCCTTGTGATTTTTAGTGCCTGGCAGAGAGTAGATGCTTAATAAATGTTTAAATGAATTCAGAGGGAGTGATGATGGTAAGTGGGGGTGGCCAGTTAAGGATTTTACAGGATGTGGGATTTAAGCTGGGTCTTAGAAAATGAATCTAACTTCAGAAGAAAGGTGGGGAGGATGTTCTAGGCAGATGGACAGAGCAGGCAAAGTATAGGGTGGGGAGGGAAGTGTAAGGCAGAGGTCGCAAACAGGCAGCCTGTATGCTGGATGAGGCCTGTAGATGTGTTTTGTTTGGCCTGTGCAATGTTTTAGAAAAATTGAAATTAGTTATCAATATGTAAAAGTTTCCATAAAAATCTGGATTTCCTATTACTATTGAAAAATCTAAAGATCTGGTAATTCTGAGCCCACACGTTCCTGCATGACAAATGAGCTAGAGCTGAGTAATTGCTACCCACTCCATCGTCCCCTTGGGTGGATATTTACTCTCCATACATGATCAACTTCACTCTTGTACATTTCCCAGCCTGGCTCCTATTAGCAAGTTTGCGACCCCTGATATGAGGTATGTTGGGGGTTGGGGAGGTAGTGGGGTTTGGGAGGACTATGAGTAAACCAAATTGGACTGGAGCAAAAGGCTTTATTAATGTGAATCATTGGGGGACATAAAGGTAGATTGGAAGCCAAATTCTGAAGGACCTTGAATGCTCCCACTATAGGCATGGAGGAGCCATTGAAAGTTTTTTTGAATGGGGAGTGACATGTTCAAAGTAGTGTTAAGATAAACCTGGCAGTAGCCTATAGGATGAAGCAAAGTGAGTAAGGCTTCCTGGTGGGAGGTAATTGAGGAGCTATTGTAGTTGTGTAGGCTTGAGAAGGTAAGGGCTTTCCCTAATGTTAGTGGCAGGTTGTAAAAGGAACAGTGGAATTGAGAGAGATTACAAAGGAATGGCAATGAGTTGAATGTGGACAGAAAGGTCAAAATGACCCCCCTCAAAATGGGAAAATGGTAGGATCATTAATCAAAATAAATCAATAGAAGGAGTGAGTTTGGTTGTTTTATGTTTGTTTTGTATTTGGTTTTTGTTGTCATTTAAAAATTTTTTTTGTGAAGACTGTTGGCAGGTCAGAAAAGAGCTCTTAAATGGTATATGTCTCTGTCTTACATGTTGAAATTTTAACAGTATTATAATTGGGAATTGTTTCTGCTCTAAGCACTAAACTACTAAAAAGTAAAATGACTTACATGAGATCCAGTTCTGTAGCTCAGGGTAGTTTAGGTGCCCACCTTGCCACTAAACCACACTACTAAGCTGAAAATCACCTTCTTGTTGTAGCTTTGAGCATTTCACTCCACTTTGGTTCTTCTAAATTCCATGGGTTAGCACTTTGCTTATTTTGAATTTCACCTCACATACTACAATTACTAGAGTTGTCATATTTGTCTTCCAGTTGATGTAGAACATTCTCATGTTCGATTTCTGGGGAACCTGGTATTGAACCTGTGGGACTGTGGTGGGTAAGTACCATCTGCTTAATTATTTGTGCAGCCAAAGGCAGTAATCATGGCATCTGGTATAATCAGCACAGAGAATACACTAGAGTTAACTATCATTTTAAAAAGTACATTAGATAGAAATTACTTAAGAATTGGCACTTGGTTAAATAAAGATCTCTGACTTTTATGTAATTGTGAAAATGTCCTCTGTATGTGACATGTTAAGCAGTAGTAACACTATATCTAGGTATCTGTAGTATGAAATAGATTACCGCCCCACCTCTTTTGCAAGTGATGAAATCAGATTTCTTTCTCAGGTGACCTAGCACTAGTGCTGAGCTCTTAGCCATCACACTGTACCACTTTATTCTTTGTTATTTCAATAATTGTCTCCAGGCAGTCTGAGGACTGTAGATTGGACCTGAGAGCATATATTCTCCAGCTGAGCCCCCACTGTTGGTGGAATAGGAGATAGTTTTTCCTCTTATGGCCAAGACACTTCCAGAATATTCCATCACAAATACAAATTCACTATGCTTGTGTGCCGGGTATTGTACCCTACCCTATGGTTAGGAGCTCCCTACCATATGGTGTGCTTCCCCTCCTTGCATCTCTGTGCTGAAGCAGAAACATGTAGTGATTAGGGGCCTAAGCCATGGAGTTAGATTGGGGTTTATATCTCAGCTCTGTTAGCTGTGTCATCTTGGGTAGATCATTAAAGTCTCTGAGCTACAGTTTCTTCATCTGTACAATAGGAATCATGATGGTACCTAGTGCCTCACAAAATAAATAAATATCATTGTTAGTTCAGTGTCTCTCAGCTCCTAGCATAGAGCTAGCCATGGATTAGATAGATGCTCAATGAATATTTGTTAAAAGAATAACAAAATAGCCAAATATTCTGTAAGAAAATGACTTCGTTATTGCTAGCAGATGGATCACTTAACACCCTAGCAGCTTTCTCCATACAAATCCTTCCTCATTATCACTGCTTGCAATTCTGTCATCTGTGTTGAGAGTAGTACAAGTCTCTTGCTTTTAGGCACTAAGATGTATTGTCACTTTTGCAGATAGGGCAGCTGAGTTCCAGTCAGTTATGAATCTCCCAAGGTCACACAGCTAATTAATAGCAAACTGTAGGACTAGAAGCTAGGTTCATGATTTTTTGATAGGAACTTCTATTTATTGAGAGCATGACATTTGCCAGGTTTCATGCTAGATTCTTCCCTATAGGAAAAAAAAAATCCATAGATTTTTAGGATAGCCTCCAGAAATTTAGAAAATTAAGTTGATCAGAATCCCCCACCCCAATTCACTGAATATTCTAGTTTTTTAGAAATCTATTCAGCATTCATTCAACAAATATCTATTGATCACATACTATGTACCACACAGTGAATAAATCGTTGGAAGTTATACCATAGTAGATAATACACAGTGTTCGGTGGCTACAAGAAAACCTTGAAAGTACATGTATTTTTTCTTTGCTTTGTTTAGTTATTTTTGTTTATTTTTTTAAGATTTATTTTTGTTGAGGTAGCATTGGTTTATAATAGCATTTAAGTTTCATTTGTACAATATTGTATTTCTACTTTTGTATACCCTATAGCATGCCCACTACCAAAACTTTAGTTTCTATCCATCACCATTACAATTGATCCCCTTTACCCTTTTCACTCTTCCCCCCACCTCCTCTTTCCCCCTGGTAACACTATTCTGTTCTCTGTATCTATGTGTTCATTTTTGTTTGGTTTGGTTTGTTCATTTATTTTTTGTTTGTTTTTTATATTCTATGAATGAGTGAAACCATATGGTATTTGTCTTTGTCCATCTGACTTACTTCACCTAGCATAATAACCTCAAGATCCATGCATACTGCAAATGGCAAAATTTCATCTTTCTATGGCAGAGTAGCGTCCATTTTATATGGATGCCACATCTTTTCCGTCTATTCATCTATTGATGAGCTCTTAGATTGTTTCCATATTTTGGCAATTGTAAATAATGCCACAATGAACATAGAGCTGCATGTATCTTTTCCAATTAGCATTTTCATATTTTTGGATAAATACCCAGAAGTGGAATAGCTGGATTATATGGTAGTTCTATTCTTAATTTTTTTGAGGAATCTTCGTATTTCTTCCTTAGTGGCAGTACCAGTTTACAGTCCCACAAACTGTTTAAGGTTCCCTTCTCTTCACATCTTCTCAAACACTTATTTCTTGCCTTTTTGGTAATAGACAATCTAATAGGCGTGAGATGGTATATTATTGTGGTTTAGATTTACATTTCCCTAGTAATTAGTGACGTTGAACATCTTTTCATGTGCCTGTTGGCCATCTATATGTCTTGTCTGGAAATATGTGTACACAGTTGCTCTGCCCATTTTTTAATCAGGTGTTTGCTTTTTTACTGTTGTTGAGTTGTATGATTTCTTTATATATTTTGGGTATTAACCCCTTATCAGATACATGATTTGAAAATATTTTCTCCCATTTGGTAGGTTGTCTTTTTATTTTTTTTATGGTTTCCTTAGCTGTGCAGAAGCTTTTTAGTTTGATGTAGTCCCATTTGTTTATTTTTGCTTTTGTTTCCTTTGCCTAAGGAAACATCTAGAAAGATATTGCTAAGACTAGTGTCAGAAAGCATAGTGCCTATGTTTTCTTCTAGTTTTATGGTTTCAAATCTTATACTGAAGTCTGTAAACATTTTTCAGTTAATTTTTGAGTATGATGTGAGTTAGTGGTCTAGTTTCATTTTTTTGCATGTCACATTTATTTTTCCCAATACCGTTTACTGAACAGATTATTCTTTCTCCATTGTATTTTTTTTTTGCTCCTTTGTCATAAATTAATTGTTCATATATGTGTGAGTTTATTTCTAGGCTCTCAATTCTGCTCCATTGATTTGTGTATCTGTTTTTCTGCTAATACCATGCAGTTTTGATTACTGTGGCTTTGTAGTATATTTTGAAATAAGGGCATGTTGTACCTCCAGCTTTGTTTTTTTTTTCAGAATTGTGTTGACTATTTGGGTTCATATGTGTTTTCATACAAATTTTAGAATTATTTGTCCTATTTCTGTGAAAAAATGTTGTTGGAATTTTGATAGGGATTGCATTCAGTTTGTATATTGCTTTGGGTAATACAGACATTTTAACAATATTAATTCTTCCAATAGAAAAGCACAGAATATCTTCCCATGTATTTGTTTCTTCTTCAGTTCCTATCATCAGTGACTTATAAATTTCAATGTTCAGTTCTTCTACCTCCTTGGTTAAATTTATTCCTAGATATTTTATTCTTTTTCTTGCAATTATCAATGGGATTGTTTACCTAATTTTGCTTTCTGCTAGCTCATTGTTAGTGTATAGAAACACAACAGATATTTGTATATTGATTTTGTATCCTGCCAATTTACTGTATTTGTTTATTACTCCTGACAGATTTTTGATGGAGACTTTAGGGTTTTCTGTATATAACATAATATCATCTACAAATAGTGAAAGTTTTACTTCTTCCTTTCTAATTTGGATGCCTTTTATTTCCTTTTCTTGCCTAATAGCTCTGGCTAACACTTTGAGTACTATGTTGAATAAGACTGGTGAGAGTGGGCATTCTTGTCTTGTGCCTGATTTTAGAGGAGGTAGCTTTCAGTTTTTCACTGTTGAGTATGATGCTAGCTGTGGGTTTGTTATATGTGGCCTTTATTATGTTGAAGAATATTCCTGCTATACTTACTTTATTGAGTTTTTTTTCATAAATGGGTGTTGAATCTTGTCAAATGCTTTTTCTGCATTTATTGAGACGATCATATAGTTTTTATATTTCATTTTGTTAATGTGGTATGTCATGTTGATTGATTTGAAAATGTTGGGCCATCCTTGCATTCCTGGAATAAATCCCACCTGATTGTGCTGCATGATCCTTAAATTAATGCATTGTGTTTTGTTTGCTGACATTTTGTTGAGGATTTTTGCACCTATGTGCATCAGAGATACTGGCTTGTAATTTTCTTTTTGTGTGTGTTGGCTTTGCCTGGTTTTGGTATCAGGGTGATGTTGGCCTCATAAAATGAGTTAGGAATTACTCCCTTCTCTTCAATTTTTTTTGAGTTATTTGAGAAGTATAGATACTAAATCTTCCTTGAATGTTTGGTAGAATTCATCTGTGAAGCCATCTGGTCCTAGACTTCTGTGGGGTTTTTTTTTGGTAGCTTTATGATTACTGTTTCAATCTCTGTATTAGTGATCATTCTCTTCAGATTTTCTGTTTCCTCATGGTTCAGTCCTAGAAGGTTATACATTCTAAGAATTTGTCTATTTCTTCTAGATTGTTCAGTTTGTTGGAATATAGCTACTCATAATATTCTGTTATAGTCCTTTGTATTTCTGTGTTATCTGTTGTCATTCTTTTCTTCTGTTTCTGATTTTATTTATCAAGGTTTCCTCTTGTTTTTAGTTATTTGTCAGTTTTGTTTATCTTTTCAAAGAACCAGCCCTTGGTTTCATTTATCTTTTCTATTGTTCTTTTAGTCTTGATTTCATTTATTTCTGCTTTGATCTTTACTATTTACTTCCTTCTACTGACTCTGCAGCTGTGGGCTCAGCTACCCTGGTCAGAGGGCTGGGATTGCCTCCACTGTTCCTTTGATTCTGCCTCCTCTATCTGTTCCAGTCTTTCTACTTTTAAATGTACAGGTGTGTGGAATTCTGTAGCATTCTGGTGTGTTGGGTAAAGGTACCTTTGTTGAACTGTGGATGTTTTACTGGTTGTAGATTGAAGGGGAGAGACAAAGGTAGCCTTTCATTCTACCATGTTGCTGATGGCACTCCTTGATTTTTTTGTTCAGGACAAATCTTTACTGTTTTCTGCTAGGCAGCTGGTAATTGAGAACTTCTTGGGAAACAGCACACAGCCTAAGGAGCAAAGAGCAACATTCTGCTAAAAAGTTGTCTTGAAGCCATTTTCATATAGTTTAGAGTGCTTGACTAGTTATTCATTCTGTAAATATTCATTGAGAAACTACTCTATGGCAGGCTCTGAGCTAAAAACCTGGGAAACAATGGCGAACAGTAAAGGACATAATTCCTGCCTTTAAGGGACTTGCTGTCTAAGGAAGTGAATGCCATTAATTAAAAATTATTAAAAATAATTGTGGTAAGTATGAAAAATAAGAGCAATGTATTAATATAGGGGCCTATGGTGACCAGATTTGCCCAAGTCATTGAGGTCAGGGATGATTTCTGTGAGGAAGTATGGATTGAACTGAAATCCAGTGGAACAAGTAGGGGTTAATTAGATGTAAAGGTAGAGGGATAGCATGTGAGGCAGAGTGAACAGAATGTGTAAAGTTCCCTTGGTAGATAGACCACAGGTCACTAGAACTGGGGGAATGTCAAAGCATATTTGGGACACAAGGAGAAGGGAAAAATGTAGTGTAAGGTGTGGCTCGAGAAGTAAGAAGGTGAGGCCAGCCTGATTTGCTATCATTTGTCCTTTAATTTTAAGCCTTCAGGTTATCTTTCACATTGATTAAGCCAACAAAAATAGATCATAAGTAGGAGTGATTAAATGAGGACTTGCTTACTCCCTAGATTTATTTTTTCTTACTAGACAGGACACCTTCATGGAAAATTATTTCACTAGCCAACGAGACAACATCTTCCGAAATGTGGAGGTTCTGATTTATGTTTTTGATGTGGAAAGCCGTGAACTGGAAAAGGACATGCATTATTACCAATCATGCCTGGAGGCCATTCTGCAGAACTCTCCAGATGCCAAAATCTTTTGCTTGGTGCACAAAATGGATCTGGTACAGGAGGATCAACGAGACCTGGTAAGAAATAGAAAGGGTGATGCACCAAATTTGACGTACTTCATAAACTTCTTTTATAGAGGTATAGATAAATTTGTACCATTCTGTTTTCAGGGAAAAAATCTCAGCATAAGCTTTCAAAATAAAGTTCTGTCATTTGTTTTTAAAAACACTCATAAACAAATTTTCCATGGTAATGGAAAGATAATATTCATTTAGCAAATAATTTTCAAATTTAGGGAAGGACCATGTGATATCACTAAGCAGCTTTATATATTTTTAAAATATATTTGCTGCCCCTGTTTTACTGTCCTTCAGAATAGGAAGCTATTGTCAAGGCTAGAAGACCAAGCAGGGGTGAGATGAAGAAAGGTCACAGCTGTCACCAGGCTGACTTAGGAAACGGGTATGCACCAATTCGCATGCCAACTACACTGTGTTAGACACAATGCCAAGGCCCTCATAATTGCACTGGTATGGTATATGTATCTTCTTTTCTAGCATAGGAGTTAGTATGCATAAATTTAAACCAGAAAACACATATTAGGAAGGGCAAACTCCTAGCTAGCTATGAGACCCCAGGACTGGCAAGTCACAAATATAGCCTAGCTTCAGTTTGGTCAGTATAAAATAAGAGGTATGGATTTAAAGTGTAAGCAGAAAGAGAAGATCCTCTATTTCCAAGGGTAAAGTTGAGGAAAGCAGTTTTAGAATATGCTGGTAATGTAGAAGAATAACAGTTCTTCTTTGGGTTGGAGCCTAGGAATCTAAGGATAACTTTTATTTAAGAATTTTTTTGGTAATGGCTGTGGTCAGGAGTACTTTTTTTTCCATAATTAGTTCCAAGATTGTCTTCAGTGTTCCAGTGTTTGAGTATGTTTTTGTGTTTCTAGGTTAGCTTACAGGCTTTCAAACACTGCTTGAGCATGTTCTATATTTGACTCTGAAAAGTACTTTTGAATATCTACTCTTTTTAGTTCCTTCTCCCTCTCACTCTCTCACCAAGTATTAATTATGTTTCAGTGCAGGAGAAAATCCTGTATGTAGCTTGGGTCTTGAGATTTTGAGGGCTTTGTTATTATTATCATTTTCTGTTTTGTTTCCCTGGCCCAGTTTGCAACAGAAAGTTTAGAGTGTTCCAACAAATGACCACCTTACGGATTTTTTTAATTACTTCTAATTTTTAGTGATCAGCTTATTGTTTTCTAAATGCTTATATAACTATCCCCAAAGATGTATTAATGTTCTTTGTGGGATTTTAAGCTTAACTGAGGAAAATATACTTTATTTCATTAAAGATTCAGACTTGGAAGTTTCTGAGTAAAATGACTAGGGCGCTTCCTTAAACGTCAGTTTCAGGCAACATAGACGTTTCCCTCTATGTGTGTGTGTATTAGGGTTCCTCAGAGAAACAGAACCAATAAGAAGTTCGTGTGTGTGTGTGTGTGCTCGTGTGTATAGATAGAATGAGAAGGACAGATTGATTAATTTTAAGGAATTGACTCATGATTGTGGAGGCTGGCAAGTCCAAAATCTGCAGGGCAGGGTGATAGGCTGGAGACCCAGGAAAGAGTATATATTGCAGCTGACGTCAGAAGGCAGTCTGGAAGGCAGAATTCCCTCTTCCTGGGGAATGACAGTCTTTTTCTCTTAAGGCTTTCAACTGATTGAATAAAGCCTACTCATATTATGGAAAAAGATCTACTTTACTCAAAGTGTGCTGATTTAAATATTAATATTAATCACATTTAAAAAATACCTTCAAAGCAACATCTAAATTGGTGTTTAACCAAATGTCTTGGTACTGTGGCATAGCCAAGTTGATATATAAAATTAACCATCACAGTCTGAACATGCACTCATGACAAGCCCATCCAGTTCTTATGTGTGTATGTATTTAAATTTGTATAAATAGATATTTTTCATGTGTATATGGGCAGATATGTGTAGATACACAGCCAAGAAGAATATATGTGTGTGAGGGGGTGTTATATCTATGCAGCTAAATAAATACAGTCCATACAAAAATAATATATCTGAGTGTATGCATATTGTGTATGAGAGAGAAAGATATCTACACAAGTTGAAGTATTTTGATTTATAAAATCTTGATATTGGTATATCTCTCTTAAAATGACCCAGGTTGGGTGACTTGGAATGTTTGATATATTTTATTAAGATTCCTCTGTATGGTAAGTTTTATTTTCCAACATAGTGCTCTTAGTGAGTACTCAGAACAATCCTGAATCAAGCACAATCCTGAAGAATTCTAGTAGCTGTTGCACTTTAAGACCTGACCTGAAATCATTTCTGCCATCCAAGTTTATGAAGTAATGTACTCACTTAAAAATTCCTCTAAGGAAAGATGAAGTGTCCCTGTTTCAAATATGCTGAAATATTACATCTCAAATTTTGCAATGAACGAGGATAGCTGTTATATGCTGATCAGTATATTGATCTTTTTACTTCAGATTTTTAAAGAGCGAGAAGAAGATCTGAGGCGTTTGTCTCGTCCATTGGAATGCTCTTGCTTTCGAACATCTATCTGGGATGAAACTCTCTATAAGGTGTGTATGTTTCCCTGAGTTCCCTCATTTTAAGAGCATAAAAAAAAGCTAGAAGGGTATTATCAAAACTAAAAGATTTTAAACTCTTTCATAGCCATCTAGATGTGCTGAACTAAAAGAAGAAATAATCTACAATAAATTGTTTGAAAAATAGCACTTAACCTTAAGAAATTTTGGTTTTGCTCTTAGCTTGGGTCGACATACCTACCAAATCACAGTGAATTAGCCAGTTTGATCATGAGTAATTTGACACAGATCTTCATGACAGTAGAGGTTTCACTGGCCATCATCCATTTTGACCTGTTGTAGTCTCAGTGCTGATTGGAACTGTGTCTAATATTTAGGTACCTTTACAGGATATAAGCTTGTCTGCTTAAGTTTGGATGGCAGTAGAAGAACAAAATTTAGGGGAGAGATTGGAAAAGGGAATCTTAGAATGAGACATTATGCTGAGAGTGTGATACCTTCAACTTTCATGCCAAATTGGAGACTAGCTTTCTTTCAACCAGAGAGATTGTTTCCATTGCTGGAATGGATACCACACTGCTTGCAATAGTTGTAGAGGTTACAACAATAGCTGTGTTATGGATGAAGCTGAAATTACCTTATTGGCACATAGGCTCCTTATCCTGCTTCCTCCCTTTCTCCTACTGGTCTAGTGATTTGAAAGACTAGGTCATTTTGGTTCTCCAGCGGTCAGACCTTTCCTTCAAACTGCTTCTGGTATCCACTGACAAGTCTGGGTAGGAAGGCATCCTTCTCTGTCACTGGTAGCTACAGCCTCAGTATCAACTGCACCTGACAAGTATCTACAGCCAGAAGCACAGAAACGTGATTTGCCAAGGAGAAACACAATTGGACTTTAAAATAGCCACTGATTTATTTTTTTAACTAATTCATTTTTTTTCCAATATTATGTTGACCCAGCCTCACTCTAATAACAGATCATTTTGAGATACCTGTCTAGGAAATACTGTTCTAGATTAATTTGGGCCGAATTTCTCTCAAAGCCTTATTCCCATAGAACAGGTAACCGTGAATAAGGATGGACATGACGCACTGATAAGAACCAACTGCGGTGTGAAGGATGGCAATACATAACACGACCAAAGACAATTGGCTAATCACAACACTGCTGTGAGTGACAATGTCTCTGCTGTGGTTAGCTTTGGTGCCTTCTCCAAGGTAAATTCAGCAGTGACATTAACACCGACCTGGGAACTTGGAACCTGAACCCCCATGCCTAAGTAATAAAACTAATTGGAACAGAGACATGGCACTACTACCTCTTACATCAATGTTGCATAGAGCTGACATAACTTTTTATATTAAGTTTTATTCTACAAGCACTCATTGGATATCTGCTTGATGCTGTTGGACACACAAATGACTAAGACCAGGTTCCTGCCCTCTAGTAGGGGAGAGAAGAACATTGTACACCTTACCAGACAAATTGGACTGAAATTGAAGAAAGTATTATAATGAAAATTCAAATAAAAGAGCCTTAAGAGAATAGAGGGAGGGTATGGTTAATTTCAATTCCTTATTTAGGTCATACTCTTCTGGATAAAGTCAGTTTTAGGCAAACATACAGTGGACCATTTTTAATTCAATTGGATCAATTTATACAGCTGACAGTAAGCCTTTTGGAATGATAATGCCAATGATTTCTTTTGTAATTTCTCTTGTATGTTATCCCATTGAGGGGAAGGGCCATTTTTCTCCGTGGCTCTGATATTTTCACAAAATTGATTCTTAGATCTATGTTAGATATAACATTACTAGGTTCTGATCTTTAGAGCTATCTACATTATTGGACTTGAATATTTGTTGAATGGCTGGGTTAGAAGCTCTTTAGCCCAGTAGATCAGTTTTCATCTTATCCTAAGGCAAAATGATGAAATTAGATTATTTGTTTATTTTTAATTATCAGTGTAAAGAAGCATTTTACGAGAGTGTTTGAAATGCTAAAAAATCCAACTAAAGGATAAAAATCAAATATTAGCTTCATTGTCTCACTTTATTTGTGTTATATCATATTTGTTGTCAATATTTGTGTAGGATTCAATTATCACCATATTTTGCTTACCATATGTAATAGTGTATTTTCTCATTTGCAAAGTTCTGGGACTGCCTACCTGTTAGTAATATTACTCAGTGTTTCTGTTCTGTTAGGCTTGGTCCAGCATTGTTTATCAACTGATTCCCAATGTCCAGCAGCTGGAAATGAACCTAAGGAATTTTGCTGAAATTATTGAGGCTGATGAAGTGCTTCTATTTGAGAGAGCCACTTTTCTGGTGAGAACTTTCTGCTCTGCAGATGTACTTCACACTGAACCTTCGTCTGTTCAACAACAGAGAACATGTTGCCACCTTCACAAAGAACCTTTCCCTCTTGTCATCACTTCAGCATGCATAGCCTTATTTATAAAGTAGTATTGTCAGCAAGTGACCTGAAAGAAGTCCTTTGGTGTGTGGGTCTTTAGTAATTAGCAAAACTTTAATGTTTGCAGGTACACCTTACTAGAGAGTTTAGATTATTTTTGCTAATGATTGTTAATTTGTGTTAAAGGATTCCTATTTCCTATTGACTTTTATTATGAAATGAGGAGTATTTTCCTTCTGAGAAAACTTGCATCCAACTTCTTTCCCCAGAGGACTGAGTTGAAAATTTTTAACATGGAAGAGATGTAATGGTCAACTCAGTGACATAGATCAGAGTTCAGATGGGGAGGTAAAAGGCAAAGAGACATGTTGGTATTTTTATTTTTCTTATTAATTCAGCCTACTGTGTGTGTGGCCCTGAGGGGGTATGCAAAAAACAATATTATATTTGTAAGTAAAATTTTAAACAATAGTAATAGAAACTAATTTGAAATGTCACAAAGCTCTGCATAAGTAATTGCTGATCAGCTTAATAAATGTAACTCTAAGAGCAGCTCACAGTAAATAATTTGTTTCTGAGCTCCACCAATGCTTGGTGATTTTAGATGCATTTCTTAATCTCTCTGAGTTTGGTTCCCCTTTTATAAAATGGAGATAATAATACCTATATCATATGTCTATTGTGTGTGTTAAAATGGGACAAGGTAACGTTAACCCTAGCACAAAGCTTAGCATATAGTTGGCAAACTATTAAATGATTCCTTTTGCTATTATAGCCAACAGAGGACAGAGAATGCAGAGTACAGTTTTTCCTCCTTCCTTTGTGTAAACGTTATTTGTAACTAGTGTATTTGGAAGTCATCCTTCCTGGAAGCTAAGTGGTACAGCTGAGGCATGGAGTCCTAACTGGAGTGTCTTTCTGCCTCAGTCCATGGCTAGGGGTCACTTGTTTGGAGTTAGACTACCCTGAGCCCTGTCTTTCCTGCTAGTGTGAATAGCAGCAAGCAGGTGAGCCCTTCTATCTGTCTTGATACACATGGCATGGTAGAATCCTGCTTCAGCAGTATTCTCCTGCCCTATCTATTATACATGATCATAGAGGTTCACCTAATATAAACTCTCTGTTCTTCACTAACAGTAATTGGTGGCTTTGGTTTCTTGAAGACTAACTTTAGGTGTGATTAACCATTTTCACTGAGGTGGTTAAAGTCAAGCAAGGGGAACCTGTTCCACCATTGGTCTAAGAATTATGTTTTGAAATTATCACATGGTTTCAGGGAATTGCCTTGTGAATTTTCGTCTGGCAAATGACTTAGTGACTTAGTTTTGCTTCCTACTAGAAACTTTACATCAGCCTATAGAAAATAGTTGTGTGGTTTTATTAAAATCTGAAAGTGTTAGGGGAAGTATTTTCAGCTGGCATGGGCATCCATCATAAATAGGTTCATTTATAAATAGTAAATCTTCAGAGTTTAGAATCATTTAGTTAAGATTTTTAAACGTAACACCAAAAGTCACTTGGTTATAGCCTTCGTTAAAATTAAATACATTAAGTATGCTAGAATCATTTAGTTAAGATTTTTAAATGTAACACCAAAAGCCACTTGGTTATAGCCTTCGTTAAAATTAAATACATTAAGTATGCTTCAAGAACAGCTAAGAATTTTTATTTATTTTTCCTTTTTGATTTATACTTTTTTTTTGGATCAAAGACATCCTGTTAAATACTGAAACAAGATGAATATTTAATCATTAAGGTAAGTGAGAAAGAACAGCAGTGAACCAAAATAGGTAATAATTAAATGATCTAATAAAATTATAACCAAACAGTACTGGGTGGGTCATCCTCAGGGATGTTGAAATTATGCAAAATGTTAACAAGATATGAGACAGAGGAAAAGGGACAGTAAAGCCAGTTGCCAAGTCTACCCTGAAAATCAGAGTGACCTAGAGACTGACAGATGTATGCCTTGAAGAGTATTAGAGGGTGATATGACAACACTGCATGGATTTAAAGGGCATTGCTCTTTTTCATAGGTGATTTCTCACTATCAGTGTAAAGAACAGCGTGATGCCCACAGATTTGAGAAAATCAGCAACATTATTAAGCAATTTAAACTGAGCTGCAGGTAAGAGATCTTATGTGATCTATTTATCCCTGGAAAAAGTTTATCATGTTAGAGTGGTTCAAATAACTATAGTACTGCACTTTCTCTATTCAGAATTGTTCCTTAAAGTAAAGATAGAGCTAAACTCTAAAGGCATCTGCAGTTGACTGAAAGGAAAGACACTGTCCTTTAATGTAAACTCAACTGATACAGAAGAAGATACAGAAGAAGCATATGAAAAATAACTAAGCAGAGTGCCTTTTTGTTATGTACATTTGATACTATTTGGGAAGAAATAAATAGAAAATGTCCAAGAGAATTTTGAAAAAGAAGAAAGAAGGAGAATTTACACTACCAAATACCAGATTTACTATAAAACTACAGTAATTAAAATAGTGAGGTACTAATGCAGGAATGGTACAAAATAGAAATCTTTAAGTATATTGTCTCAGCTTTGATTAAATACACTTTGAATTTTAACATTGTGAATATAGGAAGAAAGAATGGCTGAACATCATAATTTAATAAAGTTTTAATAATCAAAATTCTTATCCTGGTAAAACTTTGATGCCTAGGCAATAGAATAAGTTTATCCCTTTTATGCATTAGCATACTTTGAGACTTTCTGACATGTTTATGCTAATATTTTTAAAAAGAAATAACAAACGACATGTAAATATCATTACCTTTGTTTGTTTTCAAAGAAAAGAGATCACTTTTTGAATTTTGGTATAACTAACCTTCAAAAGATATAGTTGTTAATCTCAATGATAGGGAAATTTCAACTTAAGAAACTTCTTAAATATTGGAGAACTTGTTGGTAACATGATTTTTATCGTGAAACTAGGTCTAAGCCTACTTTCATTTCACAGTCAGTGTCACGTCCTAACCCACTTTCTGCCTAAGTCACTTTGCAAGACATGTTAAATTTAGCATTAGAGTTTCCTTGGAAAACAAATAGGGTTAGTGATTAATTGTATAATGAGGTGGTGAATTGAAGTATAATGCTATGAAAATGTTTAACTTAAAAGATAAAAATTTCTTATATTGCTATTATTTTATGTTCTTTATTCACTTTTCTCCTTTCTCCTATAGCAAGCTGGCTGCCTCTTTCCAGAGCATGGAAGTCAGGAACTCTAACTTCGCTGCTTTCATTGACATCTTTACATCCAACACTTATGTGATGGTTGTGATGTCTGATCCATCCATTCGTAAGTTAAAATTAAGCTTACATAGTTTCAAAGAATACACGTATTCTTTAAACTAATTGCCCTAGAGATAGTACTCTATTAAAGATACTGAAAAACTATTTTGTAGTGGCAGTTGGTGCACAACACAGTGAATGTACTTAATGCCACTGACCTATAGATTTAAAAATGGTTAAAAATGGTAAATTTCATGTTTAGGTATATTTTACCACAATGAAGGAAAAACAATTTTAGTATTAGTGGTAAATACCTTTTTTATTTAATAGACATATTTTGAAGCTTAAAAATGATTTAGACTCTAGGGTATTATGTTTTCTTCATGGGAACTTCAAAACTCAGATTATTAACTGTAGGGATTTTAAAGAAAAAAGAGCCCAAACATGTGCCTTGTATTCCACATGATATAGATTTTTAAAAGACTAATCAATCTAAGCTCTGAATTACCAAAAGTTGAGTCGTTTCATATGACACTGTATATTCCTAAGTGCCATGTTCCCCTATTTGTGTTACTGGCATAAAGAGAGGTATTTGGTGCTTCCATGCCATAATAGCCATAACCATCACAACCATTGAAATAAAAATTATAGCAGCATTTCAGGATGCTCCCAGAAATTTAAATTATCTACCTTGGGTTAATATTGGAATATAACATAAGATAATGGGTTTTACATTATTAGCCCCAAACCAAAAGAGTTTGAAATTTTATTTTAAAAATGTTATGTTTAGAATATAAACAAATCTTTTACTTTTTCAGAATAATTAAACTCTGGTTAACTTGAGACCTCCTATTTCCGTATATTTTCTGTGACATACCTTGAGGGATTTGGCTCTCTTTTATTTGTTTATAGGTTTTTAATAGGCAGACATTCCTTTGGCTGCTTGTACTTATTGGGTGTCTCCCCACCCCTACCCTTAGCTTCCGCAGCTACTCTGATCAATATCCGCAATGCCAGAAAACACTTTGAAAAGCTGGAAAGAGTGGATGGACCAAAGCAGTGTCTTCTCATGCGCTAAAACATTGCCAAATGCTGTTTCAGAAAAAAAATTGAAATACTATTTCTCAATCTTAATGTTGTATTGGCGTATATGTAGGCTCTGAAATGTTGTGATGCTTATCACTTCTGTATTTCTTCCCTACTCCCCAGTCTAAATGTTTAACCTTCAATGCTATTTACTCAAATAGCCAGTGAGGAGTTAGAAGATAAACTGTCTATGAAGTTGGTGTGACATAAAAGTAAGTGATATATAAATGTTCTAATAACAAGGTTCTAATAGCGTAAGTGTTCTGATAACCTGGTTCCAATAGTTGTGTATGCCAAAGCCTTTCCCAACATCATCTTGTATTCCTTATCAGCTAGTAACCTGTAAGTTTGGGATATTACTGTTTTCTCAGCATGCGTTAAAAATATTCCTTAACTTCAATTGTAAATAAACTTTTGCTGTTAGGGATTTCAGTGTCTGTTTTTCTTTTCCTTGTTTCTTCAACTTTTCTCTAAGAAACAGCAAATGAATTTCACAGTTATCCTAGGGGAAGGGGACCTGCTGTCTGGGAAATAGTACAAAATAAAGTTGGATGGTAAGAACGAGCCAAATGATAGCCTTAAAGCTAGGCAGAAAAGTTTAGACATAATGTGACAGGAAATGGCAAAAGAATTTTGAAAGAAAATTAACCTGGACTATATGGGCTGACTGATGCCAGTTGGAGAAGCTGTGATAGTAATACAGGCTTTAGGTGTGTTGAAAGTCTATTCCAGGATGAAACTAGAGAAGGAATGAATAAAAGGTTGAGGGAAAATAAATAGCATTATGAGATGTAATTCTTCTTTCTTTGAGGTCTGGGAATGCTTAATTTTATATATTCCATAATACCTAATGGGATATGCCTTTATTATACTAGTTAAGTAATACTAAAACCTCTTTCAAGCTGGGAGTTTATTTGACTTCATCACCTAAGGAAAAGATGAAGCATTGTGAAGTGGAAGAAATGGAGCTTGACAACACTGACTAGAATTACTCAAAGCCCTAACTTTTTCAGTTTCCATAGAACTGAAACAGAACACAAAAGCATTTAGGGAATCTACAGCACAGTAGACTCATCTCAGTTCTCTTGTCTCTATGTCATGAAGAAACTTCTAGATTGCCAGAACCTCACCTTTCCCCATTTTATTGTCCCCAGTTGAGTGATAATATAGTTTTTACTAAGCAGCACAGAACATGTTATTTTTTTAGGTAGCTTAACATTATGTAGATTAAAAATCTCAAGCCTTAAAAGAACCTCATCTGACTAATTTTAGCAATAGTTGTATAAATCTTCCAAAGAAGGAGAGGTTTTTTTTTAAGTAGATGTTCCAGATTCTTTATCCTGTTAACATCTGGGAAAATGAAAAGAGCAAATGAACCTGGGGGTCTGTTCTGAGACTAGTATGACTCATGATTTGGCATGTTCTCATTATCCTCTGTCTGGGGTGGGGTTTTAAGGAAAATACCTTGAAGTGTTTTTGTTTGTTTGTTTTGAAGATGGATAGATATAGACATTCAAATGTCTGTATATCTTTGCACACAAAAAACAAAGTTGTATAATTACTCTATTTGCTCTTGGTTCAACCCTTGCTCAGATTCTAGTTATGATTTGAACTTAGAGGATGTATAAAAGGATGAAAGTTTAGGAAAATAAGCTTATTATTTGATTTAATCCTTATTATGGTAATGAGCATCCAATCTTCTTTGTCACTGAAGACAAAAACGTATTTTGAGATAGATATTTGTCCAAAGATGGAACTACTTAGAAATTGAAGTAAACACAAGTAGACAGTGAAGGCAGGTACCCAGACAGAAACAGATGGAGAGGAGAAATCAAAACCAGAGATGTGAAAATGATGAGATTAGTGATACAATGAAGTGATGCTATTTATAGGCCATGTTAACTATGTCAGTAAGATAGGGCAATGGTTCTGAAACTTGAGCATGCATCAGAATCACCTGGAGGGTTATTGTTAAAACACACACTTCTGCCTCACCCCTCACCACCAAGAGTTTCAGATCCAGTAGGTCTTGAGTGGGGCCCATGAATATATGTTTCTAACAAGTTCCCAGGTATTGCTGATACTGATCCTGTTAGTCCAGGGATTATACTTTGGGAACCACAGCTTTAGGGAAAAGAAGAGGAAATGTAGATTTGGAAGCAGGAATGGGAAAGCATGTGCTCACCAGGTATGCAAGGATGAGTTGAAGACATTATACCAAATAAGATATATATAGTTTAGACCACTGATTTTCAAAGTGATCTAAAAGTTTGTGGAGCACTGTTTTAGATAAAAGCAATGATTAGAAAGCTTCTAATTCATAAGTAATATGTTGCAAATGGAAACCATTGCTAGCATAAAGAGAGTATGCATAGTGATTTGTGTAGGAACCTAGCTTTTCCAGTTTCAACCAGCTTTATTTGCTAACTCAATAGGATATCTTGAAAACTTAGGTGGTTTGCCAAATGAAAATAGTGCTACCTTTGGTTCAGTATTTACTAGGTGTCATGTTGTAAATGCTTTATAAAAATTATCTCATTTAGTCTTCACAAGAACCCATTTGAGGTAAGTACTGTCACTATCACATCATTTTAGATGGGGAAACTGAGCCTAGAGAGATTAAGAAACTGGCATATATTTATATAGTAGTAGTTGTAGAGCTGGAATTTGAATTCAGGTAGTCTAACTCCGGAGCTTGTGCACTTAAACTTAACCTTGAAAGTTATATGGCCTTCTTGAATTTAAGGGGCTCCTCAGGGTGGTACATTTAGGTGCACCCAGGTGTGAGAAGTAGTAAACCTATGTTACTTCTGTGTTCACTGGGGCTTCACCATGTGGAATAAGGTTTACCACAGTAGATACTGAAAAGCAGAGTCAACAGGAGGGAAAAAAAAAAAAACAAACAAACCTCTAGTTTGAGGGACTTAGATCAAACCTAAGCAGTTTTGCAGTATTTATGGTTTTTCCTCCAGAATTGGACTACTGTGAGTGGTTAGTTACAGTCTCTACTTCTCTGGGGCCCTTTAAAAACAGGAGGGAAAAAGTTTGTAACTTTTTTAGATTTCCCACAGCAATGTTTGGCAAAGGCTGGCTTATGATTTCCTACTTAAATTCCTGACTTCCTTATAAAGCAGGAAAGCAGTCAGGGTCTTCCTGCAGCCTTCACTAACAAGATTTATGGCCTCATTGAATGTAAATGTCATCACTGCATGTGATTTAGTGGAATACAATAAACATTTTTTCCAACTTTATTGAGGTATGATTGACCAATAAAAACTGTATATATTTAGACTGTACAATGTGATATTTGGTTTTTTTAAGGTGTACAACATTACTTAATGTACATATACATTTTGAAACTGATTACCACAATCAAGTTAATTAACATGTTCATCACCTCACATAGTTACCTTTTTTTTTTTCTGGTAAAGAACACTTAAAATCTACTCTCCTAGCAAATTTCAAGGATATAATACAGTATTCTTAACTATAGGCACCACACTGTAACTAGATCCCCAGAACTTACTCATCTTATAGCTGGAAAATGGGTACCATTTGACAAATATCTTCCCATTTCCCCCCCACCCTTAGCCCCTGGCAACTACCATTCTACCCTGCTTTTATTAAGTTCGATGTTTTTAGATTCCACATGTCAGCGAGATCATACAGTATTTGTCTTTCTCTGTCCGACTTATCTCACTTAGCATTATATCCTCAAGGTCAGTCCATATTGTCTCAAGTGGTTACATTGGAGTGGAGGAGGCAGAAGCCACACTCACTGGGCTTAAAGAGTCTGTGGACAGTGATGAAGCAAAGAAGTGACAACTCCTCCTTCAAAGAAGTATAGTTATGCATGGAAGAAAAGAGGATGGCAGCAATGTCCAGGGAAGTATTTTTTCACTCCTTAAGAATTTCTTCCTTAGGCTGGTCTCATTCCAAAAGAAATTTTTCAAGGTCTGACCAGCAGCTTCTGAGTCAAAGATTGTTTCACTTATAATCTGTTTTCAACACCACATGTATTCTTCTCTTGAGCACTTCTTGAAACTGGAAAGACTGAACTGAGTGTAGAAGAGAATGCAGCCAAATTTTCACCCCATAAAAAAATAAGAAATGGAATTTCTTTGGAGTAGCTTAATTGGATACAACTAACTTTTGGTAACTCCCTTCATACTAGCTCCAGAATAACAATTATGATTTCCAACATTTATTGTTATGCACTCTTCCAAGCATTTGTTTTAATTATATTATTAATATATATTAATTCATTTAATCCTTAAAAATTCCATTAATTAGTTACTATTATATATGATAAAACGAAGACACAGAGAAGCTAGGTTACTTGCCCACAACTCACATGGTTAGTGAGGGACAGAGCTGGGACTTGAATCCATGCATCTAGTGTGTGCCACTAATCTCTCCAGCTGTACTGCTGGAGTAGCAGAAAAGATCTTAGAGATGGAGATGCTTACACCTTGTATAGCTCAGGAGTTTCAGAATAAAGTAGACAGAACTGGACAGACACACTATCTCTAGACTAGGTTGAAGCTAAATTAGCCCCATAGGGTATCAGTTCCAGTTTTCCTTCCTATGGTAGTAAGCCTTGACTGAGGAGTCCTGTGTATTTAGTTGTTTTAAGCCTTGTGGTTGGGAAGACAAAAAAAGATCTGCTTACATAAAAGCTCTTCCCATAATAGTGGAAACTCCTTGAGGGCATAAACATGTCTATTTTCCCTCCTCACTGACTCTCCACAATATAGTACAATGCCTGGCATGTCATAGGCATTCAGTAAATAGTTAATGAATGGAGAATAAAGCTTCTGCTCTAGACTATCTCTAGAGAGGAAACAAGTAATGCTGGCTGGATTGAGGTCAAGAATAAATCTAACTCTAGTTACTAGCTTTTAGATTGCTGTACAGTCAGATTTTTTTAAGGTTTCTGTTGGAGGCAGGGGTCAAATTCCTGAGCCAGCTGCTTGGTGTTTTTCTGAGTCAGATTGCTAAAATACCTCCCAAAACTTTGAACAAGACAGAAGCATTCTGCAGCTGCAGGCTTCTGAGAACATGATTGGTTCTTTTCACACTTTGTAACATAATCTGAGGTAAGGAAACATTGTCTTACTTTGAGGCTATTCACTGATTGGTATCTAGGAGGAAAAGGATGATCAAGGTTATGCATACTTTATATTTTTCCACTACAGACACTTTCTCTGCCTCCAGGCATGTTTTCTTAAGTAGAACTCTCATGGTCTTGGGTCTAAAAAACCCCAAAGCAGATGCTTGGTCTTCCTTATGCCACCTACTCAACGGGATAAATGGGGTGCAACTTTCAGCAGCCCAGGTTGCCAAGAGGTACCTAGATGTCCAAATATAAAAGATAATGACTTCTCTAAGGCTATCAGGTGTAGAAGTAAACAGACAGGCATTAAA